TCTGTTCGTCCGAAGCGGCTTCGCTTCCGGTAACCAGATCCGTTTCGTCCTGTTTCCAGATTGCTCTGAATGCCGTGGAAGCGAATTCATCAGTCAGCGCGATTGTTTTTACCTTGCTGATGATGCGGTCGATGAGATCTCCATCTACCCCTTTTTCTGGATTCGCTTCCATCTCGCGAATATACTCGTTCATAGCAGCCAAATCCTGTTCTTCAGCTCTTCGGTAGAGTTCCGAATCCCTAATGTTGTTGAGCCACAATGTTTTGGGCAAGAGCGTGGTGAAGTTGGGCTGATTGTGTTCGAAAGAATTAATACCTCCTCTACCTGGGTGGTAATCCGGTCGGCGTGTAAGCGAATCCGGTTTACCTCCCTTGGTTCCGGGTCGGTACCGGATCGAGAAGTTGAAATCCGCCAATGTTTCAGCCCATCGAATCTGTCGGCGATTAAGCTGCTTGTTGGTGGCGAAATACTCGAGGTTCTTGTGGTCGGTGAGGATTTCGATCGGTTTCACCATCCCAAGCAGAATCGGCTTCCAGTGATTGAATCCTTCAACGATCGCAAGTAACTCTTTGTCGTGGACGGTATAATTGATTTCTGCCGGGTTCAACTTCCTTGAAAAGAATCCCACCGGGTGCAACTGTTCGTCCTTGTAGCGCTGGCTAAGGACGGCAGCGATGGCGTAGTCCGATGCATCCGTTTCAAGATAGCAGGTTTCATCCGAATCTGCTTGAATTAAAACGGGTTCGCTTGCGAAGGACGAAAGTAGTGTAGCAAACGCGCCATCCTGCTTCTCGTCCCAGATCCACGGCTCGGACTTCTTGGTTAACTTCACAAGCGGAAGTGTTAACCCAGCGTATCCTTTGATAAATCGTCGGTAATAGTTGGTAAATCCAAGGAATCGTTGAATTTCCTTGATACACGTCGGTTTGGGCCAACTTCGGATGCACTCCAATTTGTCTTGGGCCATAGCGATTTGCCCATCCTTGATGATGTAGCCGAGGAACTCGATAGAAGACTTGAAGAACTCGCATTTCTTCGGTTTCAAATAAAGCGAAAAGGAGCGGATCCGGTTAAAAACCTCCTTGATGAGCCGAATGTGTTCCTCCCTCGTCTCCGTATACACTAGAATATCGTCAATGTATACGGTAACACCCTGATCCAGTAGGGGGTTGAACACATCGTTCATGAAGAACTGGAAACTGGCTCCTGCGTTGGTCATACCTTCTCGCATGACTCGAGACTTGAATGACCCGTAGCGAGTTAGGATTGTCGTCCAATCCTCGTCCTCTTCTCGCATTCGAAGTAACTGATACGAAGTTGGCATATCGAATTTGGAGAAGAAGCGAGCTCTGCTAACTCGTTCTAAGGTGGTGTTGATCTTCGGAAGCGGATACGCGTTCTTCTTTGTCGCATTATTCAATGCTCGGAAGTCGGTGACCATCCTGAATTCTCCAGGAGTCTTCTTTGGTACGAGGAAGACCGGGGAACCGAACCAATGCGAACTCGGTTCAATGTGCCCAATCCGCCTCGATTCATCTATCCAATTCTTGAGCCACTTGTCTGCCGCAGCAGAAAGCGGGTAAGGCTTGAGTCGTTTCAACTCCACGTTTGGTAGCAGTTCCACAACGTGATCGTACGACCTGTGGGGAGGAAGGCTGGTGTAATCGCTCTTCCTGAAAACGTCTAAGTAGTCATGAAACTCAACTGGGATCACTTGACGCATCTCTTCCGATGCGATGTCGTAATCCTCTTCGTCGTCGTGTTCCAGACCCAATTCCCGTAGCGCTCGAGGATCGACATCTGTGTCGACAACTTCCGGGTCTTGTCTTCGGAGGAACCGGTTTCGCTCCAAATATTCCAGATTCGTTCCCTTGAGAGGCGAATCCGGCTTGATCAAGCTAATTTCGCAAGTGTCCCAATCCGTGATGGTACGAAGACCCTTAACGAATGGGACTCCTAGGATAATATCCGGGGCCGCAATTTCCGCAATGTCGAAGTCGAGGGAGTAAGGACCGATGTGTCCTCCGACATAGAAGATCAGATTCACGTAATGGGTGATTTCTCCTCGCTGATTCGGGTTAGGTTGGTTGTCAACCAACCGGAGTCGCTTCGGCTGATCATAAGGGATCGCCTCGACATGCTGGAGTACCTCCGCAGAGGGTCGAATGAAGTTACAGCTGGCCCCACTGTCGATCAGGGCGTCCGTCGTGAAAGAAGATGCGCCTGCATGGAAATCCACCGTAATCAAAGGGTCTTGCCCCTGGAAGCGAAACTTGATCCATTCGGTTCGATTCGCCTGGTTCGCCCAGGTGGGAGCCGGAACTGCTTCGACTGTTGCATTTCTAGCCCTCTCGACATTGGGGGTGCTTCCTCCTCCTCTGCCGGCAAGAACAGGACAGGCTGAAGCGTAGTGTCCGGCCTTCCCGCAGTAAGTGCAAAGGTTGAGGTCGCGGCGCCTCTTCCTTTCTTCATCGGTAATAGGACCTTTTTGGTAAGGAGTCGAACCTCTGGGTTTGACGACCTCCTTCTCGTAGGTTTTGGTCCGTTCGGTGACAACTCGCTCGGATCGAACCGGATTCGGTTCCTTCCTGTTATCCTTGCGAGCGTTCCGCTTCTCGTCTTCTCGGTTGAGAACTCCATCATCGTGAAGCCTATTGTCCGCGTCGACAGCTTCATTCCTGAACTCGTTGAAGTCTGCGAACTCCATCCTTTTGTTCAGGATACCGAGACGTTCCACCACCTTGGCCTTCAGTCCTTTCTTGGCTGCGGCGATAAGAGCTTCATCGTTAAAGCCACACAAGGGACTGTACTGGGTGAATTCGGAGAAGTAAGACGAAGCGGATCCGGTTTGAACCAGCTTATCTAAAGCGGCTTGGGCTGCAGCTTTCTCGTTGGAGCCCCCGAAGTTATGCTTCAAGAACCTCTTGAAGGCATCGTAGTCGTGTAGGAAAAGGGGTTGGTCCGCTTCGTCCAACTGGAGATAAGACGAAACCGTTTTAAAGGCTCGTCCCCCAAGAAATCCGATAGCGAAATCGATCTTGGATCCTCCGGTGGGGTAGCGTCCAGGTAATTGTCGGAAGACCATGTTGAGTTTAACGATGAATTCGTCTAACTCCTTGGCGTCTCCCTTGAACGTGGGTGGATCAGCCGGTTTCGGTTCCTTGGTCCGTTTGGCAAGCAGATCCGCTTCGTTCTCCCGAAGGGGAACGTCCCTCATAGGAGTATAGGGATCCCTGGACCGAGCTACCGAAGGTCGGTGAAGTTCTCTAGGGTCGATAGTAGTTCCCGCTAGAGATGGAGGGTTGGATGGGTAGATGTTGAACTGCCTTCGAGGAAGGGGAGCCGGAATCTCTTCTCGTGTAGCGAGTTCGTCTCTTTGTTTCCGGATCGTCTGCATGAGTTCCAGGATTTGTTCTTCGAGACGACCAATACGTTCAGAGTCCGTTTCCCTAGGAGCCGGATTCGTTTCGATCGAGCCGGTCCTGGCTCGAGAGAACCGCTGTTCTTCCTCGGGGGGCAGGTCGTGGTTTTCGGAATAGACTGACATTGTCCTAACCAGGTGCGATAAAGAAGTTCCGATATGCTGTTACGGCGGAGGTCGCTAATCGAAATAGGTCCTAAGTCGTAAGGCGTAGGGTGCTTATAGGTAGATCGCAGGTAGTCGGGAGAATGTCGCAAGTTCGCTTAGATGAAGCGGGTTCGGATAAAGGATACGAATCCAGAGATGTATGGATAAGGAAGTGATCACTCGGTGTGAGGTACCGGATTCGGTCTAAGGTGAAACGATGAAGCGTAGATACTTAGCGACGTCCTTGAGTTGTAACCTCTCCGCAACACGTCTTGAAGATGTTGTAACAAGTCAGATAGGCGTGTATTGAATGTGATATCGGAACTTGACCTATTACTATTACAGAACGTCCTCTATCGAAATCGGTCAAGTTCCTCTAGCTATTTATACGGAGACGAGTACGTAGACGAGGCTGGCGAACACTGAAAAGACCCAAGAGAAAAGAATGTCGAAAGATGGCGAAACTGGGAGAACGAGATGGCGAACAGACGAATCCTGTCGAGAGCAACCGGATTCGGTAGAGGAGGCGGGTTTGAGTTCTCATTTGTCCCTAGGTACGTCGAGTAAGGTTGTCGAGGTCCTGAGTAGAGTTGTCGTGTACCTCGAGGTCCTTGTACCTGTGTGTGATATGTACCGGGAACGTATTGTTGTTTCGGTGAATGGTAGGGGCGACCGAATCTGCTCCGAGGGAATCGGATTCGCCTCGTCGAGCCGGACTTAGGTGTATGCTGATGTCCGTAAATCGAGTCCATGTGTCGGTAGTCGGCTCACGTGATGATCCCGTAACAAAGCCGAACGAGCTTCCTGGGAGAGCAGTGGACCCACCCCCTGAGCCAGAGGTGCTGGACACCGGGGATTTGGGGTGGGTGGTATCGGAAATCGTACACTCCAAGGAGTTGCGTTCAACGCGCGCCGGGCGTAGGACCCAGTACTACGTGCGCTTCGAGGGGTACGGGGACGAGCACAACGAGTGGGTTAGCCCCTCGGATTTCCACCACAACGACACGCTGGTGCTGGAATTCCATAAGCGACACCCTGAGTTGCCGGTACCGGGCCGTCAGGAGTACGGCGATGCTTGATGCGTTCGGAGCTCGCACCTAGGAGGGGGATCCTATTATAGGCGTCACGTGACGCGCGACCTACGGTGCGCGTCGCCTCGGGGTCTCGTTCGGAGACCCTCTCGGAGACCCTCTCGGAGACCTTTTAGGAGATGTCCTCGTAGACGTCTAACTAGTACCTTGTAGTAGTTAGACATCCGTTATTACATCGCTATGCCTACCGTTACCTTTCCCCAGTCCCGCAACCTTATTACCTCAAGACCCGGCAGGTCGGCTGCCAGGCCTTATAGAAGCCAGTTTGGGCCCTCCCCCGACTACTCCGCTGGCGTCAGTTCGTCACCGAGAAGACCCACATCCCCCACGCAGGCTCGCACATGCTACTGCCCGCCATCTCGTCGGGAGGGAAGATAGACCTCGAACAGGCTATGCCACAGAGGTCCTGGATGGCTATCTTCGATCGACTATGCCAGGATTCGGGCCTGAACGACAAACACCCGAACTCTACGTTCAGCAGCCATTCGCTACGACGTGGAGGGGCTCAGTGGCGTTTCAACTATGCACCGGCTCGTTGGGGATTGCAGGTCATTCGGTGGTGGGGTGGATGGGCACCTGGCGAAGCGGTAAGTCTAGCAACAGGTGTCTTGAACGTTTGAAGGCTTGAGTGAAGGGGGGATGTCTTGCACTCAGCTTCAGTGAATGGATCCTGCCCTGCACTCGAACATCTCGACTGACATCTTCTCCTTCGTGTCGATTCTAGACCGGTACTCTGATGCGGTACCTTCTTGAGGAGCGAGCCAAGATCGACACCTACCACGGGGACATCATGAACCCACTCCTCGACCCTGCTAGGCAGGTCGTTCAGAGTGACGGGCAGAACGGTCTCGTCTCGAAGGTCGGAGACATCACTCGTCTCGAAACACGCATGGCAAGGAAGCTGGAGGGTGTGGTGGCTCGTCTGATGGCAGACATGGGAGAGGAGATGGATAGGACAAGGGCAATGGTGCGAGAGTTTACGACGCGGATGTATGCCGACCCTGACGAGCAGTCGGATGTAGTAAGTCCCTCTTGAGTGAAGATTTGGCAATCCTCGCTGAAGAACTGTCGAGTTGCAGGAACGGGAACGCCATCAGCAGATCCTCCAGGCTATCGCCAACATGCAGATTCAGGTCGACAGCCAGCAGAGATCGCTGTGTGCTGCCACGTCTGCTGCAACAACCATCGTGGGCACGAACGGATGGACACCTCCTGGCTTCAACGGCCTCATCTTACCTCCTTCGGCTTCGGTGCAAGTTCCCGATCATTCACTCGACGTGAGAATCCCCGTGGTACCCTCGACCGCGCTATTCAGAGCTGCAATCAGGGAAGTAGAGGGTCCCAAGACCCTTAGACTTCGGTACAGCGGTGATGTGATCACGGGAGAACGTCCACCCATCCCGAAGACGCGGACCGTTCGATCCTACGTCCTTCAGTGGTTCCAGGGCGGACAACATGTCCAGCACCCGTATCCTCTGCGAGAGTGGCCTCGAGAATGGCTCCACAACAAAACGAAGGAGGATCAGCAGGTCTGGGTGCTGTGGAGGAACAGGGAGGTCTTTGGAATGGGGTACGAGTACGCCAATGAAGGTTCGACTGTCTTCACCGAAGAAGGGTTCGCCCGATTTGAGGCCAGGTATCCTGCTACGACGGTCACTGGTGTCTTGAGCGCTATAAGGAAGGATCTCCAGACTGCAGGGAAGATCAAGAGCCGTCAGCGTAGCCCCAAGAGCCCAGAATAGGTCGTGAACGAGGTCGACTACAATTTTCGTTTGTTGTATTATATTTCACGCTTCACTGTAACTTCATGTAACTTCATCGACCGTATATATACCCATAATCATGTTGTTGTACTACGTATAGAGCTCTGGAGGCTGTTCTGATTGACTCTAGGTCCTTATAGGTCGTCGTATCTCTTATTTACTGAAATCGAGGTGAAATCGTCAAGAACGTCGTTCGAGAACGTCGTTCGAGAACAAAAGAAAATGTAAGGATCGTCGCTCGCGTCGAGAAGCACCCTTACCTTCTTGACTGCGTTCGAATTGATATTCACTATACATCAACTATCAACTATGTTCTTCTAGTATACATTGAGACCTCTAGACACCTCTAAACATCAAAAACGAACCCTCTCGCGCTATAAACAACTTCACGTTTCATCAAAAAGTAAACATGTCGAACGCCGAAGCCGGAGTAAGCCTTTTCCGCTTTAGTGCGAATCTCGGAACCTGCACTAAGACTCCTGACTTATAAATTGCTTTACTTCTTTTCGTATCCTCTCTTGCTCATGAACATAGCCCTCTAACAACACTGCTCGAGTCCCCAAGAGCTCCCCGATCGCCAAGATGGCGCAGGCGAGGAGGGAGAAGGCGGCTGAGAGGGCAGCGAAGAAGGAAGCGCGAGCGCGTCGGCTCGCTCTGAACGTGGGTCGTGTTCCGGCCGAGGATAAGGGGAAGGAGAAGGAGAAGGAGAAGGACATGGAGGTGGAGATGGAGGTGGTAGATGAGGACGGCGACGAGGAGGAGAACGAAGAGCAACCCGCTCAGGGACCGTTGCCGCCGCATCTCGAGTAAGTCAGGGCTTAGTGCAGGTGCTTTATCTTTCACTGAAGCTTTGTGTAGATGGAGGTTGGGTTTCGAGAAGCCTCAACCGAAGCGGAACTGGCTGGGGGAGGTTGTGGTCCCTCAACCCAACAGCGATGACTCGGATGTCGATGTTGATGAGGCTTTCCGAGAACCGAAAAAGAGGAGTCTGTAAGTCGTAACAGTTTAGTGCAGACTTCCCAATCTTAGCTGAAGTTCGTTCACATTGTCAACATAGCAAAATCAAGCTGAACGTACCAGAAGGACAGCCTCCCCCTCCCGCTGGAACTCCTCCCCCTTCTCCTCCCGCTTCTCCTCCCGGTGACGTCGTCAAGGACCCCCTCGGTGATGTCGAGCAAGGCGTACACGACATGGGGGATATGGGGGACATGGGGTAAGTTCAAGAACGTTCGGTGAAAACTCAAGTCTTTTCACTAATATTCTCAAACATAGTGTTGACCGAAACAGCACCCTCTCTCCTGTTCCGGACCAAGGTGACGGGGATTTCGAGCCCGACGATGACGAGGACGAGCTCGGAGACGTCGACGAGCTCGAAGAAGAGCCCGAACCCGTCCCCAACGACGCCAGTTGGGAGATCGACTGCGCTAGGCTCGACGCAGCGCTTGAGGCGGCCCCCGACGCAGCCAAGAGGGCTGTTTTGGTGAAGAACTTTGAGAAGTACAAGGCTAGTAAGCTGTACTGGACGTTCCAGCGGATGTGGACGTATTGGTGCGGCGTACAGAAGGATTCGACGCATCTCTCCGTAAGTTCAGGCTTAGTGAAGGTCACGCTTCCTGCACTCTGTTACGGTCGGGCCTAGTGGTAGCTAGTGTTGGCAAGAAGTGAACGCGTTCACTGAACGCGTGGTGAACGCGTTCACTGAACGCGTGGTGAACGCGTTCAGTTTGTCACCCGCGGTGCTGAACTTGAACGTGAACGTGAACGTATTTGCCTGAACGTTTGAACGCGTTCACCTGAACGCGTTCAAAATCACGTTCAAACGTTCAGAACGTGACCGTAGTATATGACAACATAGATACTAGATACAAGCATATATTGGTACAGTAAAACGTCCTAGCCGTACACCTCAGTATCGCTATCGTCCTCGTCGTCCTCGTCGTCCTCGATCTCGATCACCTGTCGCGAGGATGATGCCGACGTAGACGCTACCTGATTCGCGTTCACGTTCCCGAACGCGTTCACGAACGCACTCTCGCTCAAGATACCTCGCCCGGCCCAGTCGCCAACGATCATCTGAGCCGCTGTAGAGTCCGGCGATAGCTTCGTACGCCTAGCAGATACGACGAGGCCCGCCTTCGAGAACGCACGCTCAACCTCGACCGACGTAGCTGATGATAACACATCATGATGTTAGCAGAAGACTTGCGTTCAGACGTTCAGACGTTCAAACGTTCAAGAACGTACCAGGAGTCCCCAACACATCGAACGCCATCTGCTTCAGCCCATCCATCGACGTCTGAACGTTCCACCACGCCAGCGCTTGCCCATAGAACGGAGCGATCGAGAGGTCCGTCCTTGGTGCGTCGACGAACGTGTCGAACGCCTGCCCTACGCTAGCAGGTGCCTGGCTAGATTGAGCCAGGATTCCGTCGAGATCGTCGTATATCTGTATGTGTATGTGGCACGTTCATACGTTCAAACGTCAGAACGTCTAGCGTTTGAACTCATCTTATAGGTACTCACCGACGACGATGGAGGCTTGACGCCCTTCCCCTTATCGCTACCCTCCGCAGGAAGGTAGAACGTCTTCCACATGTCACGGCCCAACTTCTTTGCCTCTGTGATCCAGGCCTCCGGCCATCCCTGTTCTCGGAGGTAGGCGACTCGGTACCCGGGATGTAGGACTGAACGTTTGAACGTTTGAACGCGTTCAAAATTAGTACAACATGTATAATACCAGTAATAACGGAACAAGACTTACGCAGGGCGACCCGATACATCACACTCTCGTCAGTCTTGCCGTAGTACTTGTTGAGGACTGCTTGTCCCCTTCTGATGCCGTACTTAACAGCTTGACCGACCGAGGGATCGTTTCGGAAGGCGTCGAACTTCCGGGTGAGGGCGTCCATGACCGGGATGACGCCTGCGATCGACGAGCTGTCGATTCGAGTCTCGGTGGAGATCGAGAAACGTTTGGTCGCAGCTTGAAGGAGCTGTATATTGAAAAGGAAAAAAAGTTTGAACGCGTTCAAAAGTTCAAACGCGTTCAAGATACTGGCTCACCGACAACACCGGCTTGAACTGCTTCAACAGATCAATGTCACCTCCAGTAATCTTCTCCTCCTTCTTGCACTCCTTGCTAGGTAGTAGAGCGTAGAAAGATTTGCTATGTAAGATGAAGGTTTGATGAAGTTCAGGGAGATCAGCGTTTCAAAGTTTGAAGTTTCGAACGTTTGAACGTCTGAACGCTTACAGAATAGGTGCCGCATTGATCACCCCGTCCAACGTTGCCAGCGTCGAGTTCCACCTCGTTTGAACGTCCGGTGGGATGGCGTACGTGGTGGATTCGATCTTCTTCTTGTCGTGAAGATCTTTGATGGCTAATTGCCAACACCTCCTGTACTCCGATCGCCACCTCAAACGTTTGGCGAGAAGTCGACTCTACACGTTCAAAAGTTCAAACGTTCAAACGTTCAGTCACTTGCCCATCGGATATACAAATCGAAGAACATACCTTCCACAACGCTGATCGAGCCCTCTGCTGCTCCCCCTTGACCTCCTGAACGTCCTGGGAGATGTCGACCTGTGTGTCAGGGACGACAGGGACCTCGAGACCGTCGAGAATAGCCTGATCAGGGGCGAAATCGTCCCCGGTCGGCACCTCGACTTCATCGTCTTCGTCCTCGATCGTATTGATGTCGTCAAAGACATCGAACGTGTCTTCGTCCCCAACAACAGTCTCCTCGGACCACTTGTCCCCGGTCGTGCCTTCAATGATCGCCTAAGTAAAGTAGTAAGATGATGGGTTAGCAAGCGTTCATGCGTTCACGGTCAAACGTTTGAACGCGTTCACTTACACCGACGATGAGGTTCAATACGTGGGCGAAGCACCTCACTTGCCCCTGAGCTTCCCCAAATCGCTCCCAATCGAGCTCGCAGATCTTCTTGACCATCACGTCGTTCGCCGATGCGTTGTCGGCGATGATCGAGAGAACCCTGTTGTGGATTCCCCATCCTTGAAGACTCGACGCGAGAGCGTCGGCTAGGGCCGAACCGGTATGCTTGCCCGTGAGACTGAACGCGTTCAAACGTTCAAACTTGTAAGTATTCTAGCTGTTATTGTATACCAAACGTCTAAACGTTCTAAACGTTCAAACTCACAAGACGAAGTCGATCAACAACGAGTGATGCCTCGGCTCAGCATCCGAGACGTCCGTCCAGTGAGCAGTAACTCCCATGTACGAACCACCCGAACGATCGGTCCAGCAATCGGTAGCGATATGGAAGACCCCGTTGTGGAGGTGGAAGAGACCACCAACACGCTTCCGATTGATCTGGAATATGGCGCCGAGGTCCTCAGCGACTTGCCGACGGGAGGGGAGGATTGCCTTCATAGCTGGGAAGGACTTGGTGAACATTTCCCGGAACTATGAACGCGTTCAAACGTTTGACCGTATTAGTATACCAAACTTCTTATAGCAAGAACATCGCACAGAAGCAAAGAACAAGAACTCACTCCGGGCTGTTCAACGACTCTGAAAGAGTGGTTGTTCTGAGCGATCCAGGATACGATCGCATGTCGGGTCGCAGCCTTTCGAGGTTCGCTAGACACCACTTCGAGGTTCTCGCCCAAGGTCGTTTGACCGGTAGCGGCACCACCGTATTTGCCCTGAAGGCATTTCTTTAGATGCGGGGCCAGAGAACTACCTGACCCTGCTGCCTTCACGGTCTTCAGTTTGGTATAGGAGTTGCAGTTCCTGATGTAACAAGCAAATCGAGTTGAGATATCAGCCTTCTGAACGTTTGAACGTTTGAACGTCTGAACGTCTGAACGCAAAGTCTACTTACTTGCACTTCCACACCCAAAACGCTTCATCAAGACTCTTTCGAGCCTTCTTCTTCTCCTCCTGCGTAGCCAAACGAGGTCGGGTAAAGTGGACGTTCGTCGGATTGGCCTTACCGCCATCGATGAACTTCGCACACCACCGTTCGAGGTATTTATGATGTTCCTCGTTGGACGCTGTCGGATCGGGAGCGGTCCCCTTGACCGCGGTAGAAGGTGGAGTGGCCTTAGTAGCCTTATTGGCTGCGGTATTTGTTAAAGTAGAATCAGTATCTTGAAGAATATCTAAGCCGTTCGATCGTTTGAACGTCTGAACGTGAACGTCTGAACGCTTACCACTACCACCCAGATTTTTCAAGTTTATTAAGACCTTAGTGGTCTTCTGCTTCTTCGAGGCGGGAGTTGGCGAGTCTAAGGTATATCCGGTTATAAGAAGCAAGTTAGAACGTATGAACGCGTTCACCCACTAGTCTCGACCTCCTCCAACTCGTCTTCCTCTTCCGTCAACACCGACGATTCCTTACCGTCGTCCTCCTCATCTTCTTCGAAGGCGTCATCTGCCTTCCTCTTGCCCTTAGGTCCGTTGACCGTAGCCCATGATGGTGGAGAGGAGGGGGGGGCTTCTTGGTCGACGTTATCGGACTCGATGTTCTCGACGTTCTCGGACTCGACGTTCTCGCTCGACTCTAAGTCGCGTACCGGTGACGTTTGCGAGTTCCTCGTATTCCTGACCATCTAGACGATTATAAGACGCTATTATAACGTGTCCATGATGTCTAGATGTTGTTTGAACGTTTGAACGTATAATAACGTCGAAACGTAGAAGTTAGTTGATGCTTCTCGCGAATAGCTCGATATCGAGCTGACGTCTAAGTCGCGCGGATGCAAACGATCGCTTTCGCACGCGTGTTTTTGGGTGTTTTGCTTGCCGTTTGAACGTTTGAACGTTTGAACTAGATCACTTGTTATTTCAAGGGTGGTACATGTGATCTAAGTTGCTATTTGAGCCTACTGTAGTCCTAGAAGTGTTTGGTATGACGTTCAGACGTTTGACCGTTTGAACGTCCCATCGATGCCAGCCGTGAACGTGAACGTGACCGTGAACGTATTAGTGTGAACTTATGAACGCGTTCAGGTGAACGCGACGTTCAAACGTTCAAAAACACGCGTTCAAACGTTCACGTTCAAACGTTCACGTTCATTTTTTGCCAACACTAGTGGTAGCGAAAGGCTAGCCTAGGTGGAAAGCGTCAGTGGTAATTGTGCTAAGGCAGAGATACTCAACGGGAAGTGCTTGGTGCGCAATCTGCTTGCTGACCGTGAAGGGCTTGACGAGAGCTCCAGTGTTGAGTAGTGAGAGGTTGTCTGGTGGCTAAGGTTTAGGGATGTAACATATGATAATTCTTCTTGCGAAAGAAGAGAGAACATGATAGGGAATGTACAATCAGGCTGGAATGGCCTGCTATATATACTATTTTGGAAAGGGGGCAAACACTAGGAAAAGGGGGCAAACGTTCACGTTGATGTTGGTGTTAGTGATAACGTTCACGTTGGTGTTGATGTTGCCGTTAACGTTGGTGTTAACGTTTGTGTTGGCGTAGGTGTTGATGGTTGCGTTTACGTTTGCGTTGGTGTCTGCGTCTGCGTCTGCGTTGACGTGCGGGATTGGGTCGGTCCATAACAGCATCCCCCCGCTATGCCGCGAAGTCCCTTGAGCGGGTGTGTGTGCCCAGGGTTTTGCCGAGCGGAGTTCTGCCGAGGCTGGCCGGATCCGGAAGGTGTAGATAAGCGTGGTTGGCTCCGGGTCGTGTATATATGTAGGGCTTCTGTGAGGTATGATTTGTGTACCCGTAGTGATGGTGATGGGTCATCATACCATCCCGTAGTTGACCATATTATCATCATGTCTAATATCATCCCTCCTAACCCCGACGCGTACG